CCAGGAATGTCGGCCGGATGAACACCCCCAAGGTCACCACTGCTGAGATGATGGCACTGTCCTTAAAGTTGTAAGGTGGGAGCTTGGTTTTCAGACGTGTCAACTTCACTTTTTCCTGCATGGAGTCCGCTGTCTCGTACAAGTCCTTCAGGATATTCTCCTGCCTCATAACCTTACCGCTCTCCACCATGGACTCGCATACTCTCCAGTACAAGATGGCAATGAGAATCAGCTCTAGTGAATTGGAAAATGTCCTTGTTGCATACACAAGCATGATGTACGAACTAGCAAACACTTCGACACATTGCCACGGCCGAATATAGCACATCCTGGCTATCCTGTAAACACAGAAATCCGCGACAAAAGACAGCAGAGTCATGTAAATCCGAGGGGCTACCAGCAGTATTCGCGGCGTCAGGATCTCAAATTCAAAATAGGAGGCTACAGCGGTCACATATCGGATGAGCAAGTATGGCAGAGACACAATGGCAGAGAAGGCGACTGACCGGATGGGCGTTGAAGTGTGGAATTCCCACGGCTTCTGTGCATCTATGTTAAGCACATCACCTGCAGAGAGAGGGAGGCTGGAGTCAAAATCTACAGAAAAAAATTTGTACATGCTCGTGTGTGTGTGTGTGTGTGTGTGTGTGTGTGTGTGTGTGTGTGTGTGTGTGTGTGTGTGTGTGTGTGTGTGTGTGTGTGTGTGTAAGTGTGTAAGTGTGCATATATGAGTATCAAAGCATGAAGATTCTTATTTCTACAACACAAGTGGCAAAGTCCACTAGACAAAAATCCCTCCAGAAACACCATACTTACGAGCCATGACCTGTACACTTTGGTGAAATTCATCAGGATGAATGTAACCCGTCTGCACAGATGCCAGATACAACCGAGCCGCAGCCAGCATCCACCAGAAGATGGAACTGTCTGAAATTCTAGAAAAAAAGAAATATATATATATATACATATTATAGATAAATACTAGTCCAAAAAAAGATGTTAAAAGCACTAAAGTCTAAAGGGGAAGAGGGAAGAGGAACAAGGAGGCCGGGAAAGAAGGAAACTGAGAACAAAAGGGAGAATTAGAGATAGAGTATAAGTGTCTTGGGTCTTCAACCACGGAAAATTCATGTGACTTTATGGAAAATATAGAAATCTTCAATAATAAAATGTTTTAAATACTTTTTGATTTCTAAAGTTTCTGTCACCAGAAGTTGCAGCCTTTCCTAAAACAAAATTTACTTAGAAGGGTAGGCCTGAATCTTAACCCCTTAACGCCGGGTGACGCCGATCGGCGTAAAAACAAACCAGTCAAAAGCTGGCATGCGGCTGTACGCCACGGCGGCATTGGGCTAAAATGGGGATCATTCAGAGATAGAAAATACTACTGGCCACACCACAAAGAACACATGAAAAAAGGACCATCTCTGCACAAACTCAAAGGAAACCCACAATTGCTTTACAAATCTCACCTGCGGCAAATGCTATGGTCTCTGTACCATTTGCACTCCAAAAAAGACAATAAAAGCCAATATTCTGGCATGACAGAGTTTCCCATCAAATAAGGACTCTCTCCAAGCTCTATCTTGACAGTATACATGTGAAAGAGGAAGCAGCAAAGGTATAGAGGCCACCACAAGAGTGGATCTTGGTTTCAGAGTAATGTGGAACTATCTAATCAGACACTTTAAAAAGGAACATGTAAGAGAAATATTAACTTATAATATAATATTATATTGTACATGCCAGGTCAGTATTATGAAGTACTGGTGAATTATATGTGTGGTCAAACACAACATAAATCTTTGAGAAATTATTTTGATAAGTTTTCTAGTTCATGAGAATCTCCTGTTATCAGTATTTTCATATTCTACACACATGCATACTGCCATCCAAGTTCTTCCTAAAGTATCAGTAAGTACATTCTTCCATTGCCATTATTACAAAACACAAGTCCTTCAACCTAGAGACCATTCCTCAGCTTTTCTGTATTCATATATTTTAATATAAAGAAAAATGTGATCCTTTTGGCTCTCACTGCAGCATTTCTTTTTAAATAGTTACCAGTACTTCTGCATAATCATGATTTATTTCTATAAACTGTATGTATAATACTTAAGCTTTGACAAGGGAACAGTGAGATATCCCATAAAAAAATTCCTTAGTTTGCTTCCATACTTTGTAATGCATCACAAAACAAAACAAAATAACCATTAAATAAACGTTAAAGACTTCTTTTTCTTTTCTCTTACAGGGCTTAAGACTTTTATAAACACATTATCTCATTCTTTCTACGATAACCAGACCCACAATACTAACTTAGCAGGCTTCAGTGCCCTCCTCTCGGCTGATTTGAAGCCCTCGTAAGCCGAAGCCCGACTCTTTGTCCTCTTTCGACACTCCATTGTTAATAAAATAGGAAGAAAAACGTCTAAAAACCGGAGAAAGAGTCGAAAATAAGCCAAGAATAAGATGCTGAATGCGAAGTGCCAAGCTTTCTCCTCGGTTTGTTTTGGTCTGAGCAATTCGGGCGGTTGGGGAAGGGAACGCCGTCGCGGTAATTAGGATCCACTTAAGGTCTATCTCCCTCTCTGTCCGTCTCTCTCTCTCTCTTTCTCTTGCTTTCGTTCTTATATTCTTTCTTTCTTTTCTTTTATCTTTAGTCTCTTTTTTCTTACTTTCGCTGTTCCTTTATTTGTTTATCTGTCTATTTATTTGGGGAAGAGGAACGCCGTCGCGATAATTAGGGTCCACTTTAGGTCTGTTTGCCTCGCTGTCTCTCGGTCTCCTCTTGCTTTCTTTCTTTCTTTTCTTTCTTTCTCTTCTCTCTTTCTTCTCTCTCCTTTTTGTTCACGTTCTTTCTTTTCTTTCTTTCTCTTCTCTCTTTCTTCTATCTCCTTTTTTGTTCTCGTTCTTTCTTTTCTTTCCCTTTGGGTATTTTTTTCTTCATTTCCTTCCTTTTTATTTGTTTATTTATATAGAACTTCGTCGCGATAATTATGATCCACTTAAGGTCTGTCTGTCTCTCTCTCTCTGTTTTTCTTTCTTTTTTTTCTTCCTTTATTCTTTCGTTTCTTTGTGTGTTTGTTTATTTTCTTTACTTATTAAGCTGTTCGTTTATTTACTAATATATCTATTTAATAATCCTTCTTTCTCTCATTCTTCATTCCTTTCCTACCTCCTTTGTTTATTCATTTATCTCTATATTTATTAGTCTGTCTGTTTTCCTGTCTTTTTGGCCGGCTGTCTATTAATATAACTAATATAATTATTATATATAACTATTGCTGATTATATCTCTCTGTCTAACTTTCTGTCTGTCTGTCTGTCTGTCTATAAGGATGTGATATATATATAACAATATTGATAACAATAACAATAAAATTTATGAATTAGAATTATAGTGATAATAATAATGATAATGATAATAACAGTGGTGATACTAATGTCAGTGATATTTATTTTTGATATTATAAATTTAATGATGATAATAATAATTCTAATGATAATAGCAATGATACTGATAATAGTAAATGATAATGGTGATAATAACAGTGAAAGAATAACAAAATAGTTGGTGTAAAATAATAATAAAAAATAACAACAAAAAAGATACTTGTGTTTTTTTATTAAATTAATTAATGATACCAACAAGATTGATTTTGATATCAATTCAAGATTGATGAAAAATAAGATAATAATAACAAAATTAATCCTTTTGCGCTCGTCTCCCTCTCCCAAAAAGTAAACATGTCTGCCCCTTCAGTGTGGTGTCGGCTGGCTTCGACCTCTCAAAAAGCCTTAAATTTACAACTAACACGATCAGTTTGGACGAGAAAGATAAAAGTTAATATTTATCCTTCTCTTGAGGAAAGATTAGAAGGTGAGATAAGGGTGATTGTTGTTGTTTTTGAGGCTGAAATGGAGAGGAGTTTAACCGGTGTGGATTGGTATTTCTTACGTTTTTCATTATATTTCTTGTTATTTTTCAAAGAGTCGTGTTTCTTAAAACCGTAGTGATATATTTGTTTAATGTCCTATTGGTGTGTGAAGATCTGTCTGTTTATACAAGACATTCGTAAATGTCTTGTTTTTGCATAAGGGCTATTCTAATTACAGTCATATTTATTTACTCATGTTTTTTTCTGTTTTTATGTCACGTCGTAACTGATAGATGCGAATTCTAGTTTTTGTATTTTTTCTAGTATAGATTATTTCAGATTCTGAGGTTCTCTTGATGATAAAATAGTTTTTAATGTAATTTCTCCATCTTCCAAGTAATGTTTTATTTGTTTTTTGGTCCAGTTGATTAGTGTAGTCTTATATTATTGATTTTACATCAGCATGACCATCGGTTATAAGAAAAACAAAGATAAATGCTTTGAAGGCACATTGTGGCTTTTGAGACCGAGCTCATTCTTGTGATTATTACAGTCTAGATTTCTGAATCCCTGTTAAACTATTGCTGTAGTCTCAGTGTTTTGCACTTTGTCAAAGGCCAGTGAATCTACAGACCATGAGTTTAGCAAGATAGAACTTGGGCATGTTTACTAAAGATAAATAGCTTGGAAGGTTTACAGCCTCTATGTTACCAGAATGTATGTATGGAGGTTTGTTGGCTTTTGTTAGAGCACCAACAGGCATAGAAGTTATAATATTGAATTGAGTATAGGTATATAAGTGATACTTACTCTTTCTCAAAGTTATATATTCTATGTTGTGGATATATGTTTGATTATATTTTGTATCATTTGTGTTATGTGTTCGTTTATTTTTTACAGTATTGTCATATATAGTAATATTATCCATAGCAAGAATATGAATGTGAAATCAAATATGTATGATAATCTACATAATAAAGAATTTTAAAATTATATGTGATAGTTAAATGCATATATGCTTTTGCTCTTAACCTACTCAAATTTTATATATTGCGTAAGGATTTGAATGTATCAAAATCAATGCGGTTTATGTACATTTAACCCAATGGTGACGGGTGAAGAAAACAAAACAAAAAAAAAACTCTACTCTCTGGCAAACAATGGCAGCGCGCCGACTTTGAGCACATGAGTTCGGTACATCAGCCCGAATCACTGGCTCGCCATGCTTTGGCACACTGCCGCGACGTACAGCCGCACACCGAGCGGTTTGTTTTCACGCCTAACAGCGTCACCCGTTGGGAAGGGGTTAATCAAAAGAATAGAAAAGGGATCTATATTAAAGATTAATTTTAAATTTACAGAGCTAGACCACACAAGGGAAGATCCAGAGCTGTACGCAACAGTGGACATCGGTCTTCCGGAGAAAAAACCATCTCGCAAGGCCCAGCTTGGTCAGCGATTGGAGCACGTCAAGGCTCTCAGACGCAACGCAGAGTTAGAGAGGCAGGCACGAAATGATGCACGTAAGTCTACTGTCTCTTTATCATGGATTATTGAATGTTTAGAGTTACAGCTGTTGGTATAAGTATTTTATCAATTTGTTTGAAAACATTTTCTTGTATGGTTTTATTAATAATTTTACTATTCTAATGTATTTTTACTGAAGAAAAAAAAAAATCTCAGTCAGATTTTAAAGATATTTTTGATGTGGTAGATACTACAACAGTTGAAGTATTATTGATTATTGTATCTCTTCTCTGGATTTTCTCTTTTCCACAAGTTTTCTGCTTCTCTGCCTTGAATATAAAACTAATTATTCTCTCTCCTCTGCATTCAGTTTTCTTTGGGAGGGGGGGTGGTAAAAGAATTGATATTTGCTTTGATATTTTGTGGAATGTCAAAACAGATGACGGCATTATCTAACATCTAATAACTCGCTAGCATTAGATTTTGACTTATAAATAAATAAGTCATATATTTTAGGTTTGGATTTTGACAGCAGCATTTATCTCTGACGGTATATTTTTCACTCCTGGTGTGTGTGTGGACTCGTGGGGGTGCAAAACGGACGACCATTGTTTAAGCTTAATTTCTATTGGCCAGAGGCAACCAGGAAAGCTATTTAGTGCATATATAATGCGTGAATACTTAGTGAACAGTGACGTGCAGTGATAACTCGGAATTATATTTACTTTCAATGATATATACGTTATTACACTTCGTAATGTGACGGCAAGTGTGTACTATATCTCAACGGAAGCCACTATCGCCTCTTGTGGCTCCGATCATTCGGGTGACATTTGCCTACCCTCTCTGTTCACGTAGCCAAGGTGTCATCTGTACACACCAACCGCACCCCCGCTCACCACCACTAAGCTCCACTAAGCTCCTAGGTTAATGGCCGAAACGGTTGTTCGGTGGTATAGTTCACCAAAAAAAAATGCACCATGATTGTCAACGAATTACTAACTTATGTTAAACATTACATAAATTGCAGTACTATTGATAATGTGAAGAAAGTGATTCATAACTTTTATAATAATGATGAAATCATTGAAGCTAAAAAGGCACTATGGAGCATTGCCCCTTCCACGCTTGGGAATTTCCCGGATCGGAAGTCGTCTGATAAACGGCATATGTCTGTTGCACACGTGGATGACATTTTCGATGCACTGAAGAGGCTTGATGCACTGGACGAGTTACCAGAGGTAGCAGCATGCAACCTAAACCGTCTGCCCGATCGTCAGCCGGAGGAGTTGAACCTTCTACGAATAGTACAGCGAGTAGCGGAGCTGGAGAAATGTCGTGATCAGCATGCTGATACTATGTCAACTTTATCAATTGATATACTTAAGATCAAGGAGAATGAACGATCATATAGTAGAGCCGTCGCTGGTGAGAGGCCAGCAACTGTTTCGTCATCTCATCGACCAACGAGCCGTAGTTCGGAAGTTAATGGTGTTCAAGTCGAATTTGGCGATAACAGTGACTCTGGTCTGCATTTGACTCAACAATCTCGAGATACTGCCAAGAATGATATCAACAAACAAAATGAAACATCGTGCCGTGGATCCACCGCGCGTCAGAGTGCCGTACCGGGTCGTGCACAAGCAAAGGGAGGCGGGAGCAAGCCCCGCTTGAGCACGGAACACCAGTCTCGGCGCTCACAGTTTCAAGTACGTCGGGACTCGTGTGACATGAATAATCCGGCTTATAGGACTCAAGCTGATGAAGAGGGATTCATACCAGTGAAATCGCGCAAGAAGAGACGTATCTTCGGAAGCGGCAGTGCGGTGATACAGGGGCTACAAGGTGCCCCGCCCCCTCTCCGTCATGTATGGGTGTCTCGTGTAAAGGAAGGTGATGTACAGTCGTTGAAATCCCACTTACATAATAATGCTATTTTTGTGGCTGATATTGAAAAGGTTTCACATGCAGAATCAAAATTTGGTTCATTTAAGGTGAGCATATACAAAACTGATATTGATAGAGTGATGAAGGACAGCCTATGGCCTTCTGGTGTAAGATGTGAGCTCTGGCGTGATAAACAAAGGAAGGGCAATTTGACCCGAAGGGAAAGTGTAGACAGATTAGCAAATGGGATCACAAACGATGATAT